TTTTCTGTGGGTGTGTTCTTCTAGCATCTTGATGGCTTTCTCCTCTGGATCGGAATGCGGTTTTTTCTTTTCGATGTCGATCGATTCCAATGCGAAGTGATGACGAAGTAGTTCATCCATTTTCGAATCTTCTGTTTCTTCGGTGAGGTGGTTCACGAAATGAACCCGGTGACCGATGGTGCGCGAGTCTGTGCCGTGGAGTACCCATCCCAGAGCCGTCTTCGATGCCACTAGCTGTCTTCTGTTTCCCCGGCGGACTTCGCTGGCCAAGAGTAGGTGCCAGTTGTCTTGCCCGATGAGGATGGTCGGCCGGGCGTCTTCATAGGTGACGTGCTTCTCGATTCCCCGCAGGTGCTTGCAGCCCCATAAGTGTCTTTCTTCTATGGTTTGCGGTGAAATCTTCATTTGGTCGATGGTGCGCGCTTGCACCTTGAAGCCTCTGTTCTGTCCCTCGATCTTGAAGGTGACCCGGCGCGACTGTGTCTCTGGCAGCTTGGCGTCGATCGTTTCTATCTTCAGTCGCTCGGTAGGTCCCTCGGCTCCTATCTTCTCGGCGGCCCTCTCTTCTATAAGTGTGACTGTAGAGCCGTCGTCCAGTAGCGCGTATGTATCAAAATGTCCGCTCGGTCCCGTAATGCGAACCGGAATTATCTTCAAGTACGCGTCTCGCTTGCGGCTGCTGTGTGTGCTGGCCACCCTCTCGGTTTCTGTGTTGCTCGTGGCTGGTTCTTCTTCACGTTGCGACTTCGGTTTGTAGTGAAGAAGTGGGTGGTGTGAGCGCTCGCAGCCGTCCCTCTCGCACGCTCGTGTCTTGCATCTGTGCATCTTGCTTCTGTATTGTAAGCAACGGAAACAAAGGTTGCTTTTCTTCGCTATTTCCCATTTTCTATCTTGATCGGCGGTCTTGAACGTAAAGCAGGTGGCCGTCGAATGTCCGGATTTCTTGCATACCGGACATGGGAATCGATCTTCAGGCGCTCTTCTATTATGTGTCGCCTCGATGTTATGTGTTCGAAATTTTCTTGTTGTGGAGTTTTCTTCATTTCCAATGTACTCCGGTGGGGCGTATCTTGCGTTATTCTCTGCCTCGACTTCGATGAACTCGGCGAAAATCAATAGTTCCGGATCCGTCTTCATTTTTTCTTGCATTCGGTGATTGTTGACGTAATCGTTCCATCTGAAGCGGATAGTCGACGGCAGCTTTTCTATAATTGTCTTCATGATGTCCGGCGCACGTAGGTACTCGTTTTGCCCCAGTACTTGTAGTGCGACGACGCTATTCTTGATTTTGTTTGCAAAAATCACGATGTCCCTCGGCGAATCGGTGAGTCGGGGTAAATGGCGCAGCTTTTCTATTTCGGTTGCGGCGATGTTGTCCGGGCGGCCGAATCTGTGTTCCAATTGCTTCATAATGTCGCCCGGCGTAGTGTTGCTTATTAGCATGCTGCCCACGGCTTCTCTTGCCTTCCCCTTGAGGGCTCTTCTTAATCTTGATGAGTTTTCCGCCGACGATAGGTAGGTTGCGGATTCTAAGTACGCCGCCCTGAAGGTGAGCCATTCTGTGTGCGCGCCGCTGAAGGGTGGCAGCTCTCCGACGTAGCGTGGACCCGGTGCAGGCGGTACGGCGGCACGGACGGCGGCGTTGATTGCGACGGCCAGCTCGGAGACGTTCATTCTGTCTTGCTGGACCGGCGGTGGCGGTGGCGGCAACGTAGGGGCGACTTGTTCTTGAGCTTCATCAATGCGGGACGGCGGACTCTTCTTAATGCATGGCTTCAGCGCCCCTGGGACTGGATCTTCGGCAAGTGGTGCGACGGACCCACCAATCTGTACGGTGTCCTCGACGGTCGGTCTTCTATACGGTTCGGTGGTGCCGCCGTCGGGGGTGGTGTCCTTTGTCGCTGTGTCCAGCCAGGTGATGACGCGTTCTTCATTCTCGGTGCCACGTGTGCTATCGGTCTCTCTTCTGTCTTCTATTTGCGGGTCCTCTTGGTCCTCATCTTCGCTATCTTGCTCTTCCATTCGTATCTTCGCCCTTATAGTCTTCTCTAATTCTTCATATAACGCCGCCAGGCGCTTCTTCTTTGCTGCTCTTCGTGCAGCTATCTTCGATTCTGTTCGGTGTGATGTCATTGCAGCTGATGGCGACTTCGGCGGTTGGTCGTGGCGCAGCGGGTACGGTGGCCGCGTCACGGTGTCGCTCCCTTCCGATGGCGCTCTTGACGGGGGTTGGACAGGATTCTCTCCTGCAGCGGTTCGCTCTGGCTCTTCGATGCTTCTCTCGATGCGCTCCTCTTCGGCCTGGTCCATTTTGTCAGCTTGAGATCTTGTTCGTGGCATTTTTCTTTCTTCAATCTTCTATAATTTTTCTTCAATTTTCTGTCTTCAATCTTCTATAATTGACCACGACGATCTTCTTTCTTCAATCTTCTATAATTTTTCTTCAATTCTTCTATAATTTTTCTTCAATTCTTCCTCGGCGCTGTAGATCCGGCTCGATGCGACCAAAAAATGTACGGGACGCCGGGCTGTCGCAGTAGCGGACAGTTACCGACTCGTACTGAGGGGGTGGAGGAAGTTACACGCAGGAGTCTTGACTGTAGTGGACTGTAGTTTCGGCGAATAAAACCCCTGGTGTTCGGTATTGAAGAAATCGGTGGGCGCTGATAATGGATGGCCGGTGAGAGGAGGCTTCAGGTCCAGAGTGAACCGCTTGGTTGTTTCTTCCTGTTCCTTAGGGTAGGAGCGCCTGTCGCTGAATGCATGTCGGGGCATGTTCCGACTCGAATTTTATATGCTAGGACTGAGCTGGCCAGCGATCCATTACCTCACCCACGCTATACTTTATTTTTCATTTTCTCAAGATTTACAATAGTGCGAGCTTAAAACTAATTGTACATACATCGGGCATACATTTGGGCATATTTTTAACATAGTTATGTGTCCGTAAACACGATATTTTAGGTGTGGCGCGCAAAAAATAGGTCTCCGCAATATTTATACTTTCCCCCTCCATAGGGCTTCGCCCTGCCACGGGGCTTCGCTGCCCCACCCGCGCGCTCCGGGCGCGCCGGGTGGGGAGCGCGACATGTCTCAGAAAACGGTTCTATACAAACATGTTTTTCTCCTACACAGTACATTTTTACACTTATTGATGTGATACCTATTTATTTACGTAGCCCTACGTGTTACCTATCTAATAAAACAAGTTTCTTACAAGAATATTAATAAACAACAGCTGTACGGCCCTATAAAGTTTATAAATTAAAAAGTCTTAAAAAACCTACTTATACTCGCTTAATGTCTAATTATTATACACCATTTTAAAGAAGAAGTAAAAATACATAAAATGACATCATTATTATAACAATTATACCTATATCCTATTGACTATTCATAAAAAACTATTCCCGATATTTTCCTTAATTACGCTTAAACTACTAACACGATTCATATAAAACTTCGATATATTATTCCTATAACTACCTACTATCTAATAAGACATAAAATAAATCAATCAAAACATAAAACATACTATTATCGAAGATTGTCAACTCAGGCAAAATCCTATAAGACGTGTGACAAGGACAACCTATTGTCTCCGTCCCTCCTATAGGTCGGAACTATCAGTATTCTGACTAGTTTCCCCGCGCCACCGCTTGGCGTCGTGGCGATCGTTTAGATAAAGTCTTATAAGATTATTGGAGAGAACGGGGCGGAATATCGCTCTGAACTATCAATTTTACAATGGTTTACTATGGGCAGAGCTATCTATTGTTGCGATATCCGACTCATTCTAATAAGACAACAAGGGAATGATATTTTTAATGCGTATACAACCGATTCATATGAAATTATAGATACATTTTTATACATTGCTCTCGTATCGTAGTGAGTTCATTTTCTTTCGCTTCGGTCGTCGCGTACAGTCTAGAAAGAAAAACTCAGCAAGGGCTGTTTTTTTCTCCCTGTTTTATTATTTACAGAGTCGTCAAGTTGAAAAATTACTTCAGAGATAATTCATGAAGTCACCTTTCATTACATAATGTGAAATTATACATTAATTGTTCCCCTGCATTTAGATTGCTGTGTCACACAGTATAAATACAAATAGAGTTATTTATAATAGGTGTAACTAAACATTTACATCTTTAATATCAAAGTAGTTAGGGCGGACTCATTTCCGCTGCCAGCACCCGTTCTAGAGCATGACGCATAAATCAGCCATCGCTTCGCTCAACCATTGCGGATAGATGTTATTGGCAGACATAGCGGTCTACCCTCTGATGTCGTCTTTTACTGCGCTCGATACCCCTAACACTGGTCTCATTCTCACTATTCATTTGCATCTACATGGTAATGACCATGAAAGTTTAAAACAATAAACCACATACTAGACCCAATCAACGCCCAAAGCGGTTACAGTCACGTTTGCCGACCAAATGACACTATCAGGGTATATTGTGAATGAAAAGGAGAGACTGTTGTCAAATTTAGTTGTCCAAATATTAATAGCCATGTAAAGTTCTAGCATTACAGATTGGTGTTAAAAAACGTTCAGTTATAATTTTTCATAATATTGCCAACTTTACCTTAGTTGTTTTACCAAATAATCACCTAATGTATTACTACACTTCCTATCTTAACTATCAGCCCACTTAGTGTTATAAATTTCAACGGCCTGTAGCAAAAATACAATTAAGTTAGATTAAACAATCCTACTAATATTATGTGACTGTGTCTGTGTATTTTTGTGTTTATTACTCAATCACGCGGATGAAGTCGCGCGCGGCCGCTAATAATAATATATTATTATAAATACATAAAAGATGGTTTATTAATCAGCTTTAAAACTGCATAAAGCATTTTGCTCAATGTAATATTTTTAGCTAGGGACCCACAAAACCGTATTGGCCCTAATTTAAAATATTAGGTAGGCCAATAGATCTGTCTGGGAGTATATTTGATCATTGTTGTTATTGTACTTATGTTTGTTTCAGCACTCCACCAACCTCATTGTCTTGTGAAGTCCGTTATGAAAAGATGATGGAATTGTTTGGTGAGAGCGGTCATTTCTGTCGCACTGTTGAAGAAATAGAAGCCGCACTGAAGAAAGCTGTAGCCACTACAGATAGGCCGAGCATAATCAATATTGCCATCAGCCCGCAGGCCAATAGAAAGCCACAGACATTCAACTGGCTTACAGAGTCCAAACTATAAATAATAAGACCAAAAATTATTTAAATGGTGCTGAGTTCTATGCTGTTATGACAATTGTATTAAAATGTGATGGGCAAAGCACCAATATTGTTCAAAACAATATACATTAGTGTCAATTCTGACATGATTCTCTAAACTTAAAACTAAATTTAACATCAGTCTCTCCTTTTCATTCTGTATAGAAAATGACATGGGATACACTGATGTCAAAATGAAGTTTATGTTTAGAGAATCATGCCAGAATCAATACCACTGTTATTATTATAAGTTTTATATTGTATTTATATGTACCATTCCATACATTTACTACAAGCAAAAATGTGTGTTGCACAATGTAACCCTTACTGTATATAATTTTTAAATCTAGTCATTTGTCTTAACCAAGGTAATAAAAATGCGGCCTATTTAATTATATTGGATTATTAGTTTAACACAATTAGCTAAACAACTTTATAGAAATTTCATGATAATAAGCCTCAAATGACTAAAGAATGTGGAACCAAATATTGTTAAGAGACAAAATTCGCTATTTAATGTACATACTTACATATTTTTTCAGCCCATTTCCCTACTCATTGCTTTGAAAATGAGCGTAATGTAAATGGTATATAATTTTTATGGGTACCTACTATTTTAGCATATTTGGTGTGCGAGTGACAAATGTTTTCTGTAACGCATGTATTGTTGAAAAGTCAGGATGCCACAGAGCTTCGTGAAAAAATGCGACAGAAATACTTGTAGTATGTAGTGTCATTTTTTCATTTAACGCATTTGAAGCAAATTTTGTTCTAATACTTATTACAAACTGATTTAATAGGAAAAATGTGATATTCAAATGCATGGTCGGTTATATAGCTGTCTCTTTTCCTCGCGGTCCATACCTGCTATATTGCTAACAGCCCATTTAGAATTCTGCATAGACTCAAAGATATAAGGTCTATATTCTTCCGCATATAGCACTTAGGGTTAATGCAAGAAAACACCAAATGAATTGATATTGTCTGTATTTGAGTCAGTCACATCACAATGTGTGTATAATAATTTATTATGAACTTAAAATATATTTAATACATTTATATTATAAACTAAATCCCTGTATTTTGTTTTTAATCTGCTGAATGCAAAAGAACCTGCTGTGTGAAAATTGTTGTCCAGAGCAACTTAATATGAGCAGTAGGATAGTTTTCACATTTTGCTTAGGCAGCCGATCAAGAAATTTTCTATCACAGTTTGCGCTGAAACAAATAAATTGTTTCATTAGAACTGAGGATGAGGTCCTAATTTACTTATATTATATGGTTTGTGGGTATTTTAATGTGGTTATACAAAGTTTATTTCAAATAAATAATGCAAACAAATGATACTTTTTTTTACTGTAGAGTTATTGAGTTGTATAAAACAACTTTCATTATTTACACCACATTGTTTCATCTATAGTAAAATACTAGAGAAAATAATTTGACATTTACTATGTATTTCACGTGACGAAAAGCTTGATGGCGCAAGTGGTTAGCGCGTTCGGCTGCGATCGTTAAAGTTAAGCAACTTTCGCAGTGGTTGGTCATTGGGTGGGTGGCCATAAATTTTCTATTGAGCTTCTCTGTGCTTCGGTTGGCACGTTAAGCCGATGGTCCTGGCTGCACTAGGAGTTGTTAGCACCCACCAAGCTGCACTGAGACCAAGTGGTGGGTCATGGTTCAATCTCTTTATTCCATCCATAATGCAAGCCTGTGCCTCAGCAGTGGGGACATTAATAGGCTGTTGATGATGACGTGACAATAATCAAATTTATCTATGGATGAAACAATGTAGCCTTAGGCCATGTTGTTACATCAATAGTTAAATTTAACTAAGGTTAAATCCCATTAAAAAAAATTGTCAAAATTTAATTATTGATGAAAACCTTATTCTGAAACTAAATGGAACTTGTTTTATGGCAATAGCATAATTTCTGAGATATAAAATCATTGCATTAATATAAAAAACTAGCAAACCAGTGAACCAAATGTTCACCAAAACCTGATTTCTCGAAAACCGGAAGTGCTACGTTACTCAAATCCGGTTTGTAGTCTTATCAGACTATTCTTAACTTATAACTTAAATATTCTCTTTATCTATCTCTTACGGTTTGGCCGCTGAAACAGCACCACAGACAGAAATACTTGTCTAATATAAAAAATTCTTTGGACAGAGTAAGGATACTGACCCAATTTACAATTGTTTGTTGTGGTCAATGTATAAGCATCTTGGTCATAATCATTGGTGAGTGTGAGGTCAGCTCCACGTATAAGTAGTTCATTGCAAGTATAGGGGAAATCTGCTGCAGCAGCATACATCAGAGCTGTACTACCTGACTGAAAATAAATTAAGAATATATTTGCATATTAGTGCTAGATATTTATATGTATAGAAAAAAATTATAACCAGTTCACAAACAAATTTTCATACTTATCACAGGTACACAACCAGGGTTCTAACTTATCAAGACTTAATATTATAAAACAAAGTTCCCTGCTCGGTCTGTATGTTTATGATCTCAAAATCTTTATGACTGAACAGATTTTCATTCTTTCTATCAAAGTTCTAAGTTGGTTGTTGTTTCAATGTGAAGTTGTGTTAAATTGTATTTTTGTATGTTATAATTTATTTAAATAATTACAATTCTGAATCAGAATCAGGAAAAACAAAAACTAAATAGAAATACTTATTGTTTCCATATACAATAAGGGCAATTTCAATATTTAGATTAACTCACATCATCTTGAATATCAGCATCTGCTCCTTCATTTAAAAGAAATTTTACAACTTCATGATGACCTCCTGCTGCAGCCAGGTGTAATGCTGTCTCACCTTCAGGGCCTCTCATATTTACATTGGCACCACTCCTAGACACAAAGTACCACTTACAAAGTCTTTTTCTACATTTTTAAAAACCCATTTAAGTAATTAAATGTTTATTGAGACAAGCTACTATCGAGTTTCCTTGAAAAGAAATGGAGAGCATTTGAATATCCAATCAGGGGTTCTATCTTACTTCAAGCATAAAACAAAGAAATCCTTTGTCACAATGCTTACCAAACAAGGTCTTGGCAGCTGTTTAGCTGTCCATAGCTAGCTGCCCAATGTAAAGCCGTGAGGCCATGCTCATCAGTGATGTCAACATACTGCTCCAGTTTCAAATCGTCCCGAGTTATTTCTCCACGACCAGCCTTCGCGTGTAGGCTGCAATCTGGCTGGGGCAATTCAGGGACTCGCGCCTGCGTATTACCTATAAGACCGACCTTGAATATTATTTCTGAAACCTGGCCGACATTCAGCAATAATCAATATGATTGCTTCCAATAATCACTAAATTCTATTAATCTCACCTCGCTGTAAATTAGTCAAAGCAGTACATTGAACAGACTTATAAGGTGTAAATGCACTTTTTCGAATTCCATTCAAATTGGGTGCCCATCGTTGATAACTACCGCTATCACTTTTGCTGCTGTCTTGACTTCCTGAATCAAAATCGTATTTATAGCTATCCAAATTCTCCTGCTTTATATCGATATTTTTTTCTTCATTTTTAATGCAAACAGCCTCTTCCATGTTTACTACCTGATCACAGACAATCACAGATTACTACTAAGTATAGTCGGAACGCTACAGAAAGCACGCTTTGATAGCCGTTTTGACGTTTGTGCGTTCATGAAGTTTTTTATTCGAAATTAGTTCTACATTTGAAAGAAACTACTACTACTACTACGGGGCTACTTTTTCCAAAAAAGAGACAAATAATATTTTTATGCTTTAAAATATTTTCAGCTCATGTCCTGACAGGGCTGTCATTTTTTTTAAAGAACTTAATTATTCTTTAAAAAAAATGACAGCCCTGTCAGGACATGAGCTGAAAATATTTTAAAGCATAAAAATATTATTTGTCTCTTTTTTGGAAAAAGTAGCCCCGTAGTAGTAGTAGTAGTTTCTTTCAAATGTAGAACTAATTTCAATAGCTCATAGCTGGTACTTTGTCCCTGCACATGGGCAAGCTGAGTCTTTATGCTTTTTTATTAGTTTAGTGTATTATTTATTGGTTTTGACGCAATCTCTACGTGCATGTCGGCAATCATAATACCCGGCGATGACGACGTACAACTCATTCAGTGCCACAAGTGCATACAACCCCGGTTTTTTAAAGGTAACCGTGGCTTAAAAATACACATTGGCAGGTCTCATAAATCCCCTGCCTTTAAATTACATGAAAGATCTTATAATTAATTGTTTTTATTAAGTTTTATATTTGATGGGCAATTAACATAAACAAAGTTGGAAATATAATTAAATATAATAGTTTTATTTGGTATTTACATAAAAGACACACAAGACCTAAATATATTTTTACAAGACAGCTGACAATGTCAACTACTCTCTTTTATAGTCATAGAGATCTATGAAGAGTGTAAAGACTCTTTATGACTCGTGGTATAATAAAGGCTGTCCTCTTAACATCCCCAGGACTTTTAGGGACTGATACAGTTCAAACCTTGGAGTCCAATTCTTTTACTTAGATCTCGCAGTCTTGGTCCAAAGAGAGGTTTTGTGAACATATCGGCGAGTTGCTTTTCCGAGGAAACTTGTTTCACAGATAGTTCACCCTTGGTCACACATTCTCTTATGAAAAAATGCTTGAGCTTTATATGTTTTGTTCTTTTATGATATTCGCAGGGAGGATTTTCTGATAATTTTATCGCAGATTCATTATCTACATATATGATAGGCTTTTCGACTTCTGTCAGTTCTTCTAAGAGTCCTTGTAGCCATATAGTTTCCCGGGCAGTTTCGGAGAGCGCTATAAGCTCAGCTTCTGTAGAAGATATGGCTACAGAAGATTGTTTCTGACTCTTCCAGAAAATTGGTCCAGAAAACAAGAACACCATGCCTGTAGTAGAGTGTCCAGTAACAGAGTCTCCACCGTGATCTGCATCGCTGTAGCAGATTAGCTTTCTGACTTTTTCATTTCTAAAGATTAGTCCGGTGTCCATAGTTCCCTTCAAATATCTTAGAATTCTTTTTACTTTTAAAATATCCATCTGCGTTGGATTTTCAAGATGTCTTGAAGCCATACTCACTGCATAGTTGATGTCAGGTCTTGTGGCGACCATTAGATATGCCAGCGCACCTACCGCTTGGCGATAAGGAAAGTTTATGTTGGTTCCTTTGTCATCATCCTCCTTCAAGGTTTTTACAGCAGGAGATGGAACGCTTTTGCAGTCAATCATGCCAAACCTTTCTAATATTTTCTTGGTGTAAGACCTTTGGTGTACAGTTATATCACCATCTTTAGATTTACCAATTTCGAGACCAAGAAAATAGCTGGCTGGTTTTGTTGTGATTTTGAACCGCTGCTTTAATTCCTTTATGAAATTAACGCCTGCTGCTTCACTACTTGACGCTACTAATCCATCGTCAACGTAGAGTGCAATTAGTACTTGGTTTCGTATATAAAGGCAAGGGTCATTAGTGCATTGTTTAAATCCAGATTCCACCAGATACTGCGATATACAGGTGTTCCAGCACAAAGGCGCTTGTTTTAGGCCATAAAGACTTCTTTTCAGCTTGCATACTCTCTCTGTGCAATCATTGAAGCCTTCAGGTTGGTTCATGTAGATTTCCTCTTTGACTGTTCCATTGAGAAAAGCTGTAGACACGTCAAATTGCTGTAATTTTAAATTTTGTTGTGCAGCAATCCCCAAAAGTGCTCTAATTGTGCTCATCCGGACTACTGGACTAAAAGTCTTTTCGTAGTCAATGCCAGGTTTTTGTGAAAATCCCTTGACAACTAGTCTCGCCTTATATCGTTCGATTGTACCATCTGGGCATCTTTTTATTTTATAAACCCATTTGCAGGGTAGTGCTTTTCTATTCTTAGGTAAGTCGACGAGATCCCAAGTATTCATTTCATTTAGCGAGTTCATTTCACTCTGCATGGCTTGTTTCCAACTGCTATATTCTTTGCTTTTCATAGCGTCTCTGAATGTCTGAGGTTCTTCCATAGCATCCTCATTTATAGCAGTTAAAACATAGTCCTCAAATCTTTTTGGTGGGACAATACGCGACCTGTCACGAAGATTTCTTCCATCCGATTCAACGTTAGTCGCCTCATTTAAAGAATCATTTCGTATATCTTCTATATTCTCATTTGTTTGAGTTTCCATTTGTGACTCTGTGTATTCATCATTTTCAATTTCTTCAGGACAGAGTATACCGGAACTATCAATCGTCTCATTTTGGACAAGTTGTTCTTCATCATTAGTATTTCTAGGTTCGCTGTAAATTTTTACTTCTTCCTTGAGTGTCCCATCAATTTCGGGGAAAGGATTACTTCTGCAAGATCCTTTGTCATCGTCATAGAACATTTTTCTTAAAACCCGTACATCTCTGGAAATTAAAATTCTTCTTTTGGATGGCACATAAATTCTAAAAGCTTTGGATACTTCTGAATATCCCACGAACATTCCAGGGATGGCTTTTGAAGCAAATTTTTGACGACCATTTTCTTTTATTAAGATGAAGCTTTTTTCACCAAATATATGTAAATGGTTTATGCAGGGTTTCCTTCCTACCCACAATTCAAATGGTGTTACTTGTCCAATACTTTGATTAATACTCCTGTTTGATAAGTAATTGGCTGTGTGAACAGCTTCTGCCCACAGATGTAATGGTGCTTTCGACTCTAACATCATACATCTTGCCTTTTCAATCAAGGTTCTATTTTTTCTTTCGGCAATGCCGTTTTGATGAGGGGTGTATGGTGCTGTCAATCTTCTTGATATACCATTCTCTTTCAGGAATATGTTAAAGTCTCGGTTACAATATTCTGTGCCGTTGTCACTTTGTAGGAATTTTATTTTATTTCCAGTAAAGTTTTCAACAATTTTCTTATATTCCTTAAACTTTTCAAGTACTTCATTTTTGTGTTGTATAAAATATATATAACAGTATCTTGAAAAATCATCAATGAATGTAACCATGTATTTATTTCCATTTAATGAAGCGGTTTTCATGGGTCCACATACATCGCTGTGTACAATTTCGAGTCGCTGATTGGTACGGGTAATTGTGCTAGACTTGCTAGGTATTCTACTTATTTTTCCTTGAATACAAATTTCACAATCGTCCAATTTGTTTTTATGGTCAAAATTTAACCCAATCAGTAAATTATTACTCAAAGCATGCTTCATGTTTTTCTCTGACATATGTCCTAATTTTCTATGCCATAATTGTATATCATCAGATTTGTTTTCTTTTGTCTGAGTAACATTAGCTTTTTCCCGACGATCAGTATTATTATTTTTGGTACGTAGATAATATAAGCCATCGTTAGATCTTTTAACGTTTATTTCAACATTGCGCTTTTTATCCTTTATGATTGCTCGTTCTTTAGTAAATGTTACAGTATGTCCAGCGTCAGTTAGCTTTCCGACTGATAGAAGGTTAGTACATAGACTCGGTACATAAAGAGCATTTGCTATGCCTATTAGTCCTTGCCTAGTCTCTATTTGGGCCGGACCTGATCCTTTGATTTCAGCCGTGTGCTCTTTTGATGCTAATTTTAATGTTTGGTTCACATTTCTCATATTTGTAAATGGTTTATCTGAAAATGTCATGTGAGACGTGCATCCGCTATCCAATATCCAACCGTTTTTCATTTCTTGTTGATATAAAGAAAAACATGTAAAGTTATTCTTTTCCTTTTGATTTAAACTATTTTGTCTATAGTTTAAATTTTTCTTGTTCTTTTTGTTTTTATTTTTATACCAACATTTTTCTTGTTCATGTCCCTTTTTCTTACATATTTTGCAGAATGCATAAAATGATTCTTCGACATTACTTGAACTTGTATTAGGTTGGATGTTTCTATTGCGAGCATCACTTTCTTCAATTATTTTAATTTTTAACTTTTCTGGACTTATTAGTGAGTCTTGCGATTCTATTGCAATTCTAAAATTCTCATAATCGTTTGAGAGGCTATATAGCATCATTATGGACAATAAGTCACTATTAATTTCTATATCTAAGTCTTTTAGTTTGTCTACCGTATCCATGAAGTCCTTCAAGTGTTCCCGAACATCTGCATCAATGCCTAGTCTAGTCAATATCAATTTCTTTAATAGAGTTGCTTTTCTGGCAGGCCCTTGACTGGCATATATACCTTTGAGTTTTTCCCAAACGTCTTTTGCGTGAAGACAGTTCTTTACTTCTTTTAATTCAGTTGATGAGATCAGTAACAATAACTCGGCTTTCGCAAGTTCATCATTTTCTTTTTCAATATCTGAATTCTCATCAGGATACGTCGTTACATATTTCCATAATTTGTTTTTTATTAAATATGCTTTTGCATGAATTACCCATGTGTCATAATTTTCTTTTCCAAGTGGAGAAATTTTTACGATCGACATTTTCTTTCCTGTAAACGCTCTGCTACCATATTAAGTTTTATATTTGATGGGCAATTAACATAAACAAAGTTGGAAATATAATTAAATATAATAGTTTTATTTGGTATTTACATAAAAGACACACAAGACCTAAATATATTTTTACAAGAC